GCACAGGGTCGCTCTCAAAAACAAGAACTAGGATCAGAAAATGAAGATAAATGCCTTTAGCTGAGGTTAGTTTTGTCTGGGACCTTGATTCTTACAACTAAAAATAAATATGATGTCTCTTAAATTTCTGTCCAAAGTTTGGTGTTTGTTTTATTAAAAAAAAAAAAAAAACACCAAACAAACTAATAATAGAAAGTTGCAGCAAAAGTATGAAATTTATTTTTGGATCACTGCTGGTATCAAGAGCTAAGGGTAAAAATGGCCACAGCTGGTAAAGCGTGATGGGTGGCTGGTACCACTGTAGTGAATGCGCTGGAAACAGGCAGAACAAGAGATTCTATCATTTAGCAGGCAAACATTTCATGGCCTTTAAAGCTGGAAAGGACCACCTTGTTTGGGCTCCTCTCTGCCACGAAATTTCACTCAGCTGCCAGTCTGCACAGCCGCTGACTTGCCTTTGGATAAAAAGTATACAGGTTCGTAGCTGTGCTTAGATTTTCCCTCATAGTTTCATCAGCAATGCAGTCGTGAGCAGTTTCCTTTTTGTCTTTGGTGAGATGAATCCATTTCTCCTCATAAGCTTTTGTTTTCAGATATCTGAATCAAGGTTGACGTTTCCCTTAAAAATGTGTAGCATACAGAACAGCTTTTCACCAAAATCAATGATGTTGAAACCAGTACATGCATGCAGCAACAGCACTTTTATGGTAACATGAGTGACACTTTTCGGGGAGGAAAAAACCAACAGTAATTCTCTCACACTACATCTCTTGACAGTTATGGTCCATCAGCTGTCCAGATGACCTCCTCAGCTTAGATACAATAGGAGTTAGTTGCATACTGGTTCAATCAAAGCATTCAAACCTGAATATTTACTGCTTTCCACCAAAGTTTTGAGTTTCACGGGCACTACAACTTGAAATTCTATGCAGTCAGCAGAATCCATAGCAACGGTTTCTCTGTTAAATGGAAATACAGAGTCTCAGTTTTTGAATATCATTGTTAAAATGCATTATCTCCAGCTGTTTTTCTATATAAAAACCTATAGTTCTTACAAGGTATGGCTTCCTCGCCTCACAATGGGTAAAACATACGAATGCTTGTGGAGTAAGAGAACCAGCATGGGCCTGAGGAAGCCATCTGTCTGCACCACCTTCCCTCTGCCCCTAGACTGGATCACCCACACTTTTGCTCTTCCTAAAAATATGCTTGTCTGCTCTGTTCCTTCAGCCTTCAGTCTTGAACACATCTCACAGGATTTTTCCAGACAGCTTTCCCCAGTGTCTTACTATCCTTCCTGTTAGAATTATTTTTCTCATTGGTAAGTACAGTACTTACTCTATCCACCATCCTTGTGGAGCACCAACGATTTCATTTTTCTCTGCAGCAGCCTTTTGCATCTCTGAAGACAGTTTTATGGTCCTCTTTTACTAAATAGACTTCCCTGTTCCTCTAGATCTAACGTCAAAGCTGCCTCTATGGCTTGGTAACTAAGGCTCCAGTGAGATATGTAACACAGTGCTCCTTAAACTAGCTTAAAGAGCTGTTGTCTGCCTGCAGTGCTGACCACCGATTCCTGCATTTGCTGCTGTATTTCTGCTCCAAAAATAGCTAACTGTAGGTGTGTTGAAAAATGAAAAATTCAGAAGTTCCAAAAGATTGTTGTCTCAAATGTTCTTTTCTAATTGTTAAAGGTTTTTTTGCCCTTCCATCAATTCCTTATGCATATTAATATATTTATCTTCTGAAAAATATATCATTTTTTCCGAGATTTGTTTTTCATTTTCGCATCTTCTTTTCCAGCAGTAAGCATTGACAGCTTGGTGAGGAGGGGAGAGGAGATATGGCCGTTTGTTCCAGAATGGGGTTTTTGGATGATCTGAGGAGCCAAACTAAAACTATATTTCTGGCCATCATCTCCAGGGTTTGGACACTAGAATAGAATGTATGCATCTTAATCCCTTCCACCTTATTTTGGTAGGTTTTTAGGGACAACAAAAATCCCAACAATCAAAGATCCTCTCCAACAGAAAATCACGTAAGTCTTGTATTCGCTGTGTCTCAGTTACATCCATTGGCTCTGTTACATCATCAGCTTAAAATACTCCTTAAGTCTGTGATTCTGATAGATCCTTTAAAGTATATGAATAATCTCAGTCTTTAACAGAATGAATGTAGCTGTATTTCCAACGATCACCATTTTTAGTATATGCTTTGGAAACAATATCCTTGTAGTTTGTGCAGACCTTCAAAAGAACTCACAGAAGACTATAAAAATGTTTGGGGTTGATGTATTTCAACTTAATTTAACTCAAGGGCCTATGGTACATTAAGTAGAATGGGGCCTCAGTGCAGAAAGACATTTGAAAACAGTAGTTGTTCACCTATGATCAACAGGAAAAGAATGTTTGAAAAAGAAAGATACAGCATTTGGAGAGAAAATGGGTAAAAATATTTTAGAAGAGGCTTCCTGAAGAGGCTGTTGCCGTCATGGAGAAATTGTTGCAAATGCAGGGAAACAAAAGTGTGATTGCAAAAGCATTAATAGGCATTTCATGCTGGGGGTGATCGGGGGAAGGAGTTAAAGCGACAGAGGCTCTTCCTAGATGCATTTGAAACCAGTTAGTGTACAGTGATGTGCTTGAAAGCACATTCAGTGAAACAAATGGCCATCAGTTTTGCCATTTGAAATGTTCGGTAGCAGAACATGAAAATCATAGCAATGTTGTTTGGCTTCAAATATTGTAATGAAGTCTAGCCTTAAGCTGGACGTCGTGACTGGGCTGTAATTCCGCAGCGTTTTTTAAACATACTGCCTATTCTTTTTTGTCTGATGCCAGTGACATACAACATTCACAAGGGGAGTGTAAGCTCTGTGTATACTGAGGGCCTAATCCACAGAGAAATGTGGAAGAAAAGACTGTATTTCAACTGCTGCTGTAGCTACTCTTGAGCTAGAATGGCAGTGCCAGCATTCAGTGGATCAATGGTAACACAAAGGTTGATCTTTAATAAATAGGTTGAGAGTCTGAGTATCCTGTAGCAGTGAGTAAAAATCTATGTACTAAATGTTACATAGATTATAGCAGAATATATGCACAGTCCCCTCCTGAGGGAAGGTGGGGGAGAAGTTATATTTTATATCTTGCAGTTGGCTGCATTTTCTGGCTTTTCACCCTAAAACCACCAGAGACTTCCAATGATCATTCTCAAATGCCAGTCGCATGTCCCAGGAGAATAAAAAAAGAAACCTAACTGCATATTTCAGTTCCTGCACTCATTAAAAGAGGAATCCTAGCCTGGGTGAAAAAAATATTGCTGTTTTGGGGACTGCTAACTATTCAGAGAATAAATCTGCTTGTGGATTATTAACTGGAAAGTAAAAGCCTATTTGCAATATATGAACAATAGCTGCTTTTTATATTGGTGAGTTTTGAGTGTCTGCAGCCAGAGATACAAACATTTGTAAACCGTCCATGCATACGGGTTCATTTAGCGTTCCTGAGAGTTATGAGCTGATGCCAGCAGTAGGTCTAACAAATAGACCCGCCAGTTTTTTTTAAAGCAAGTTTTTGCTTGGCATGCAGGGAGTTCTAGTAAAACTTCTTAAAGCAACAGGGTTTTGCCATCCGAACTGCAGTAGCTGAAAAAATAGAGCTCCTATTGGTAAAACTTTCCAAATGATAAAACCAGAACCTCACTTACAATATACTGAAACAGGGGTCAAAACTCACTGTATCTCAGACCAGTGCACCCCACAACCTCATGTAGGAAGTGGCAAAAATGCTATTTTGATACTGCTTTAGAGAGAAAACTGTAGTGATCACTTGCTGTGTTCGAATCCTTACAGACTGCATAGTCCTCCTGGACCACCCTGTTAACCCAACCCAGGAGCGCTTAGTAGAAAGATTAAGATCTGCAAAAGGAACTAGGCAAACCCAAGGCCCGACTCTTTACCAAAAACATAGCCTTCAGCCAACAACAAGTATTGAAGGTGATGCCTGCCCAGTGACCCCACGTTCAACGGCCGCGGTATCCTATCCGTGTGAAGGTAGTGCAATCAATTGTCCCATAAATTGGGACTTGTATGAATGGCTAAACGAGGTCTCAACTGTCTCTTGCAGATAAATCAATGAAATTGATCCTCCTCTGCAAAAGCAGGAATATGAACATAAGACGAGAAGACCCTGTGGAACTTAAAAACCAAGGATCAATGCACCTAACCCTAACCCTGCTAAGGCCCACCATGCTTGCAATTAACTGATCCCTGCTTTTCGGTTGGGGCGACCTTGGAGAAAAAAAGATCCTCCAAAAATAAGACCACAGCTCTTAACTAAGAACCACCCCAAGTACTAATAGTGACCAGACCCAGTATAATTGATTAATGAACCAAGCTACCCCAGGGATAACAGCGCAATCTCCTTCAAGAGCCCCTATCGACAAGGAGGTTTACACCCAACCATCCATCTCCCTAGGTCATCTCCTGCCAGAAGGGACCCCGACACCTCTCATCGATTACAACACCATAATCGACTCTGTAGATATATAGATGTATATCTGTGTGTATAGAGAGAGAGAGAGAGAGAGAGAGTGAGTGTTTTAGAGTGAACTGTTCTGCCACTTTCAAGAATGGTTAATTGTGAACTTTTCCAGGTCTCTTTCAAGTCCTTACCCAAAGCATATTGATCTTCCGTTGACTTTTGTTGCCCTTAATAGACTGTTGGGCAATTAGGATCTTTCTGCCTTTCTTTATTTGATCTCTGCTGCTTACGAGGGATGCAATTCCATTTCCAGTGGCGATCTGGACACACTTTTCGTTTTTTTTTCTTCCTGTATTACCTCAGTAGTTGTTTTTCCTGTCATCTGAAACCTTCTACACAGAGTCCTTCAAGGGAAATAAGAGAACTTCATCAAGGGAAATAAAAGATTTGACATAATCCTGAGACGTGTTTTAGTTAAACATGGGCAGTTTGTCCTAGAGCAATTCTGTATCTGCAGGAGAATATATGGCCTTTGTATACCTGAGATGATACTCTTGTCTATCCTAAAAAGCTATGAATCTGTTAATTAAAACAGAACCAGTGATAGTAATAATTTTACTGGACTATTAAGAAATAATGATTTTTATTTGAGCTTGAGTCCTTCACAATGACTTTCCTCAAGCACTTGATGAGTAAGCTTCAGTTGCACAAAAAATTCCTAACACATTAATTTTAACTATAAATATTTTCTTTAAAGTTACTTTTCAAATGTTTTTCAAATAATATATGCAAAGGTACATATTAGACTTTCTCAATTTACAGTATTAGTGGCTTATATGTATCTATAAGATGCAGACACAATATCTGGTAATTTGCTTTCAAGCACCAATACCTTTTTTGAAAGAAATAATAATACTTTTATATCTACCCATGTCTGTTTCACAAAAGTAAAAATGATGAAATGAGGTTAACCAATTATTATGAGAGATTTGCTCAACACTATGCAAAATAGAGGAACATTCTTAACCAGTTAAATCAAAGGTCTATGAAAAGCAGTGGATGGGTATTTTTTTTTTTTTTCTCATTTTGCTAAGTAATATGGCAAACTGCCTTAATTACTTATTGGGCCTTAACTTTGCAACTTGTCACATGGGACCTGACAATAAAGAGCTGTGTCTGGGTAGAAGACAACAGTGAACCACTTTAACACGCTCGGGAACAGGGACCCAAATTGCAAAACCAAGTTTGTCCTCTTAGAAGTCCATCTGGACACAAATCAAGTTCTCAACTGCGAGATTCCTTTGTAGGTTCAAAGCCCCTGAACTAGACTAATCAGTGTGAACTTTCTCGCTGTAGGAGGGAGCACCTCTTTAGGTCCACCGTTTAGGTCTACAAAAAAACCGCTCTTCTGGCTGTACAGAGCCCGCTAGGACTGCAGACACCAAGCCTTTCAGAGGTCTCACGTATGTATGCAGTGTGGGTGCATGAAGCCATGCACTTGCAAGTGCACCTCGTGCAGCAGCTGTTCCCATCAGCCAGTACCGTCTTGGTGGAGCTCTGCCTGGCCTTGGTTTCCAGTTCTTGTTCTCCCTTGGAGGTTTCACACTCACTCGGAGGGGAGAAATAAGGAACAATACCTGAGCGCAAGAATGGGTTGTGGGCTGCCACATGTGACAGATGTTCTCAGTTTACTACACTGAAAGGTTGGGCAGAGTCTATCCCACAGTATCCCAGATCTGCACGTGTCCCAGGGGTTTTCATGCTGCAAATCTGAAGAATCCTTGTAAAAACACTTTATAATCTTGGCCCTCTAGTGCCTAGAACTCAAGGAGAAATAGGGAGTCAGTAAGGACTGCATAACTGAGATAGTAGCATTGCCACCTGATTTTTTTTCTTCTTTTTTTGTAGCCCTAATGTCTATGTCCTTTGCTTGAGGCTTTACACTGCATCACTACTTCCCCCCCCCCCCCTTTTTT